ATGTAATTGTTGTGAATCAGTTTCATGCTACTAGCTTCATTGAAAGGAAGCCTGAACTACATAATAGTTATCTAGAGCTGATAGAAATAGGTGGATCAAGGCATTCTGTCACATATGGTGTAAACAATCGTAGCCCTCTTATCAAACTAATTGGCTTTGATATTACGAAATGTCTTCCTTTTGACATAATGCACACACTGTTCGAAGGTGTGGCTTCCCATCACCTTCAGGCGTTACTAGAGTACCTAATCAAAGATAAGAAATCCTTCACTCTGGCCCAACTCAACACAATTTTACGTACACACAAATATAGTAACTCAGAAACCAAACCATCACCGATTAACAAGGATAATGATGGTTCTTTCCATATAAAACAAACAGGTACGAATACATGAACATTGTAAAGTAATGTACAATACATGTACATTTTGTATGTCACTCAAACTAACACAATATTGTTCCATTCATCTCTTAGCATCTCAAATGATGACGTTGGTCAGACTATTTCCATTCCTATGTGGTAATGTTGAAGTGGAAAATGACAAACACTGGGATTGCTACCTCATTCTTTTGGCAATTTGTGATATGGCCTGTTCTTTTGATGTCCAGGAAAGTGATCCTACTAAATTTGGATGGATGGTACAAGTATATCTTGAGTCTTTTGTGACGCTTTATTCTCCTCAATTTTCTGTCACACCAAAGATGCATTATCTTGTTCATCTCCCTAAACAAATGACTCTGTGAGTACATGCATATTTTTCTTGTATTATAATGGACATATACATATATGTACTGTAGGTTTGGTCCACTAAGACACCACTGGTGTATGAGGTTTGAGTCAAAGAATGCACAAATCAAAAGCTTCGTTACACGCTGCTTTAGAAATGTACCTCTTTCCGTTGCAATACGCCATCAACAGTATCTTTCATACCATTTATACACCCCACCAGAACGACATTCCTCCAATTTTTTATATGGTGGTGATCAAGTTTCAGGTAAAACTTTGTAGTTTGACTTAATTGCTACTTCATGAAACAAACATATAGGAGATTCACAACAGTTTGACCATTATAGGGAAGGTATTGAGAAGCTGCTAGATATACCCAACAATTCCCTTTTTGGCATAAGGTAACGTAAATCTAACAAAGCTATATGTACATGTACATTTGCTATTATATACTGTTGCAGGTGCAAGTTTGTAATAATTAATGGAATCGAATACAAACCTGGATATGTCATACGCATAAAACCAACTGAGCCTTCCTATGACTTTGACTACGGACTCATTGATGCCATCCTTATGTATGAAGGCCACAAGATCTTCCTAACAACAATTCTAGAAATAAAGAAATTTCATAAATCACTTTGTGCCTTTGAAGTTTCTCCCACACATAACGTCAAATATGTGCTTTATGGTTCCTTGTATTGTCATGGAGTGGTACATATACATACCAAATCAGGAAACTTGTACATTATTGAGAAAAATTATTGTTTTAAGGATTTATGGTGTTTATTTTAGTATGACATGTATTGTTACAAAGTTATTTTCATTTGCTCTTATGTTATGTGTGATAAAATATTTCTGCTACAATAAATCACTTGGTTATACTCACAGGTGTGTTGGGGTATGTTGCACAATTATTGTACATGCATTATTGGCATATGGACATACAATGTACATGTATTAGTGGCATATGGACATACAATGTACATGTATTAGTGGCATATGGACATACAATGTACATGTATTAGTGGCATATGGACATACAATGTACATGCATTATTGGCATACGGACATACAATGTACATGTATTATTGGCATATGGACATACAATGTACATGTATTATTGGCATATGGACATACAATGTACATGTCTTATTGGCATATGGACATACAATGTACAT